GACGGATTTGTATTGGGTCCAGGGGGGCCATGGGCCCCCTTGAATTTTTTTCAAAAATCAATAATATATATATATATATGTGTGTGTGTGTGTGAAAAATAAGGAAAATATGAATATAAATGTAAATTTTTTTTACAATACATTAATAAATAAAACTTATTTTTTATGTTGTTTTAATTTAAATTAATAATATTATTTATATATTGAAAAATGTACTAACAATCCTCTTTTTTACATTTCTAGATAAATTAGAAAGCATATTTATAATAATTTACTCTTTGGGTCTCTTAATTGTAAATCGATTAAGTAATTTGTAAAAAACTCAATATTTAGTTGGACTGTTACGTTTTATAATTTTGATTTTTTACTTTCACATATTTTTAAATTTATTTATTTTCTTTTTAAAAAATATTTATTTTATAAACTCTCATCAACAAAGATGTTATGCAATGTGCTGCAAATGTTCAATTTAAATCAATTTTTCAATAAAAAAACTCATTTTTTTCCATAAACTATAGATGTTAAACTTAAGTTATAAATATATGAAATCTCGTATTATTTTTTGGTTTATATTTTTTAAAAGTTTGAGGGTGATACAGATTCTAAGTTTAGAAAAACTTGATGGTACACATATCGATATTTATATTTATAATAGATATATTTTTATATGAAATGAGCGTTTCAACATAAACTACAACCTCGTTATAACATTTAAAATCGGACCCCCCTGAATAAGATTCCTAGATCCGTCACTGGAGTGAATATAAAAAGACGATAATGTATTTATTAACAAGATGAGAGTAATAATGAAAAAAATACTCCCTCCTATTTTTATTATTTCTCGTTTTGAGAAGCAACACTAATTAAGAATTTTTTTCTTGTCAATATTAATCCTATTTAATGGATGTTATGGAAAACAATGGAGATGGGATGTGAAGAGACATTTTGTATTAGATGGAGGGTTAAAAATAGAAAAATATGAACAAAATAGCCAAAACGACATTTATTTAATCAATGATCAATTAAATCATGACAATAATAAATAGGAGGGAGTACAAAAGATCCAAAACGTAATTTATTTGGTTAATTGTTGATAAAGCCAAAATGACATTTAAAAAGAATAGGAGGTAGTACATCCCATGGCATGTGCTTGAGTTTATTATTTGTTGCTTCTCGCTTCATTTGTAATTTATGGTTTTCAATGCTGTGATGCTATGTTGAACATGCTTTGTAATGTATAAAACTAGGTGTAGGTTCTCTACAGTCTTTATCACTTCAATTTTACCACCTTGTTCTGGCTGAGATTAAAAAATATATACACTTAACAGGTGCAACATCCTTCTTGTTCACCGAGTACCAATATGTGGGGATTTTCATGGTCGCTTTTGCGGTCCTCATCTTCCTCTTCCTGGGCTCGGTCGAGGGTTTCAGCACAAAGAGCCAGCCATGCACATATGACAAGGACAAGCTATGCAAGCCTGCCCTTGCAACTGCAGTCTTCAGCACAGCATCCTTCTTGCTTGGGGCCGTGACTTCCGTTATCTCTGGTTTTCTTGGGATGAAAATCGCAACCTACGCCAACGCCAGAACAACATTGGAAGCCAGGAAAGGCGTTGGTAAAGCTTTTATTACGGCATTCAGGTCTGGCGCAGTCATGGGTTTTCTCCTGGCGGCAAATGGCCTGTTGGTCCTCTACATAGCCATCAATTTGTTCAAGCTGTACTATGGAGATGACTGGGAAGGGCTTTTCGAGGCGATTACTGGTTACGGCCTTGGTGGGTCTTCTATGGCTTTGTTCGGGAGGGTTGGTGGTGGAATTTACACTAAGGCGGCTGATGTTGGTGCCGATCTTGTTGGGAAAGTCGAAAGGAACATTCCAGAAGATGACCCCAGGAATCCTGCTGTGAGTTAGTGGTGATGTTAAAATGAAAAATATTCCGTTTTAGAAGGGATTTTGTATTTATTTAGTGATTGGTGATGGCTGCGTTGTTTTGCAGGTGATTGCTGATAATGTAGGTGACAATGTTGGGGATATTGCAGGCATGGGGTCCGATCTTTTCGGTTCATATGCTGAGTCATCGTGTGCGGCTCTTGTTGTGGCCTCCATTTCGTCTTTTGGGTTGACACACGACTTCACGGCAATGTGCTATCCGTTGCTCATTAGTTCCATGGGAATCCTGGTTTGCTTGATCACCACTCTTTTTGCGACCGATTTTTTCGAGATCAAGGCTGTGAAGGAAATCGAGCCAGCGCTGAAGAAACAACTTATTATCTCTACTGTTCTTATGACCGTGGGAATCGCGATTGTCACATGGACTTGCCTACCGCCATCATTTACGATCTTCAATTTCGGTACTCAGAAAGTTGTCAAGAACTGGTAAGGATTTGTTTGCACGCTAAAAATAGAGATATATATATTATCTCTGCTTATCTAAGTCATTAGCTGCCACAGCTCAAAGTTTAATAGTATAGTCACTAACTTGAACGTTGCATGACAGGCAACTTTTTCTCTGTGTTTGTGTTGGACTGTGGGCTGGACTCATCATAGGGTTTGTGACTGAATATTACACCAGCAATGCTTACAGGTATGCTCATGAAATTTTCATTTTATATATCGAGTTTCCACCTCAAATTTAATTTTCCTTTCTTGATGTGTGGACTTCCCTATGCAGCCCTGTGCAAGATGTTGCTGATTCGTGCAGAACTGGTGCAGCTACCAACGTTATATTCGGCCTTGCCTTGGGATACAAATCTGTGATAATTCCCATTTTTGCCATTGCGATTAGCATATTCGTGAGCTTCTCGTTTGCAGCAATGTATGGTATTGCTGTAGCTGCTCTGGGAATGCTGAGCACTATTGCCACTGGTTTGGCCATTGATGCTTATGGCCCAATCAGTGACAATGCTGGGGGTATTGCTGAGATGGCAGGTATGAGCCACAGGATTCGTGAGAGAACTGATGCCCTTGATGCTGCCGGCAACACCACTGCTGCAATTGGAAAGGTATTATACCTTGATTTCGACTTATTAGTTTTTTTTTTTTTGGATAGAGAATACTGAAGAAAACTTCTTAGAAGACTTAAAAATTTCTTGGAATTTTGTTTTCAGGGTTTTGCTATTGGATCTGCCGCGCTCGTCTCGTTAGCCCTCTTTGGCGCCTTTGTCAGCCGTGCAGAAATCTCGACTGTCGATGTCTTGACCCCTAAGGTCTTTATAGGATTAATTGTCGGTGCAATGCTTCCGTACTGGTTTTCGGCCATGACCATGAAAAGTGTGGGCAGTGCTGCCCTGAAAATGGTGGAGGAAGTCCGCAGGCAGTTCAACACTATCCCGGGCCTGATGGAGGGCCACGCCAAACCCGATTATGCTACCTGCGTGAAGATCTCGACTGATGCTTCCATTAAAGAGATGATTCCGCCTGGTGCCCTTGTCATGCTCACTCCCCTGATTGTCGGAACGTTTTTCGGTGTCGAGACTTTGTCTGGTGTTCTGGCTGGGTCACTTGTTTCTGGTGTGCAGGTATGCTCTAATTTCATCTGGAAAAGTTCGTATTTTAAAGGAAAATTCAACAAATTGCAGAATTTTTTTATTCAAAATCCATTCCCTTGCCTTTTGGATCCTGATTGAGTGAAAAGAAGTATTTGACATTTGAAAATACTAAACGTTACTTACTTTAGGGCAAAAGCTGGTTTTTTTCGTTTATTATGATTATTTTTATTTCACATTTTGGGCTTGCCGCTCATTACTTGTATTCTTACAGATTGCAATTTCTGCATCTAACACTGGTGGTGCCTGGGACAATGCAAAGAAATATATTGAGGTAACTCTCCACATCATGACCTCTCTCTCTCTCTCACTACATTATGGCTATGTTTGGTAAAACTAACTGATAAGTTAGCTTATAGCTTATTTGTAATTTTTGAGCTTATAGCTTATAGCTTATGGTTTATAGCTGAAAAACTAGCTTATATGATAAAAGTTTTTGGTAAAATTAGCTGATAAGTTAGTTGAAATAAAACATTCAACTAGCTTATTTGAAAAGCTACTTAAAGTAGCTTATGAGATAAGCTCGAGCTTTTTAAAAAAGCTCGTCCTACCAAACGAGGCTTATTTGAATACAGGGAGCTTATAAGCTAACCAAATAAGCTATAAGCTAGCTTATTTGGCTTACCAAACATAGCCATAATATATTTTCCTTATAATCATTTTTTTGAATACAGGCTGGTGCTTCGGAGCATGCAAGAACCCTTGGTCCAAAGGGATCCGAACCACACAAGGCAGCCGTGATTGGTGACACCATTGGGGACCCACTGAAGGACACTTCAGGACCTTCTCTCAACATCCTCATCAAGCTAATGGCAGTCGAGTCCCTCGTCTTTGCTCCTTTCTTCGCCACCCACGGTGGCCTTCTGTTTAAGATCTTTTGAGGCGGTTCAAAAATGAATAATGAATAAATCGATGTTTTTGCGCAAAGTGGAAGAGGATATCTGCTTCTTTGCTACTCTGTTTTTTATCCTCTTGTCTCTCAAAGTTGTTGTTTTTAAGTTAATATTGGTAGCTAGTGAGAACCGTTATATTTTTGATGAGCTGATAATGATGATAATGGTACTGGTGTGGGTGAAGGTGAGAGAACCTATAATCCTCATTGTTGGAAGTGTATGTGTTNATGCTGATTTTGTAAGAAGCTTGTTTCCAGATTAACTGTTGCAGTGGAATTGATTTTGCTTGAAACATCTAACGCCTTCTGTTTCGGATTTTCCTTGAACTTGAGTTGTTTGGATCACTATTTGTCTCTGATGGTATTGGTTTTTTGCCTTGAAACCGAAGTTTCAGCTGACACTTGCATCTTAAGCCTTGCACGACTAGCATATTTTCCAGGTTTTTGTCTTTTTATTTTAGTAAAATATGGCCAACAGTATATCTTATGCATTTTATTTATCATTTTTATGAATGCAATATGGCTAATTTCATCAAGGGGTGATTGATGGCACAAGAGAAAGTAAGTATAAAATGAAACTTCATTTAAACAATAGATCTACTAGGAGATGATCATGTTTTTCAAACAAAAGATCCATACTATAAAGTTGAAAGAAAACCATGCTTCAATGCAATTAATTACATAATGTCCACAACACCATTACACAAAGGAAACAGAACAAAGCAGCTTATTCCCAAGTCACTACAAAGTACAAACAGCAATTGAGCACAAGAGAATCAACACAACATCTCACAAAGACACTGTATGAAGTGCCCTCATCCCCTTCTGATAATATCCCCAATGAACATCCGCATAATCTCTCACCCTCCCGAACACCCTCCGACCCTCTTCACTAACCAATCCCTCTTCCGGCCCAATCTCTCTCCCGACTTCCGGAGTGTAAAAAACTGCCACCGACATCCGATCCTTTTCCGAGTCGCTCACCACTCTATGCACCGGACTCTTGAAAACCCCATTGCTCATAATCTCCAAGTTTTACAAAAATAATAATGATCAAGATTTGATTTTTAAAAAAAATAAAAATAAAAAAATCATCCAAACTATTTGCTTAAAGGACTTTATACTATACCTCCATTTGGTCTCCCATGAGTACTATAAGGGCATTATTGGTATTTTGAGGGACCGTGCACCATTTTCCATCGCTGAGGATTTGCAAACCGGGTTCATCCTGAACTATTACGGTGTAACCCGACCCATCTGCATGGGCTTTGAGGCCCAGCACGTGGTCAGGCCTCGTGCAGGGTGAGTAATAGTTGAACCTTGCCTGATACTGTGCTCGATCCCCAAACTGTGTAAGGAAACAGCTCTCGTCGAGATTAAGTGATCTCGCCATGGATTTGGAGATAGTATATGTCACCCTTTTCATTTCTTCTGCATATTCTTCCAGAGTTTTTCTACAAGAATAGATAGAACCAAATTAGGCCGTAAAAATTGGAACCAGAAGTACACATTTTCAAGTTCTTTTGGCTTTATTACTTGAAAGATGCTGGGTTTTGAGGCCAGAATTTGTAGTTTCGTTGGTCTTCAGGGACTAAATCGATAAAAATACGGTCCGACCAGTCGAGCGACTGTCCTTGTTCCGGAACTGGATCGGCCCCATAGCCTTGAAACTCGGTCACTGTCTTTGCGTATTTGTTCTTCTCATCCATTGGCTGCTGAAAAAACTCCCTCCCGACTCGTCGTAGCTTTTTCAAGAAAGGACTTGGGATCCCATGACCTATGGCCTAAAACATTCAAAATGCTAATTACTTACTAAGCTCGTTTAGTTTCTATTCAAGTTAAAAAGTTTTTTCCTAGTTAACTGAAACATGTCATAATAAAGATTTTTGAACCTGAAAACATCCCCATGTAGAGAGTGCAGACTTGAGTTTCTCGAGTTCTCGTCTGCTTTCTTCAGTGGACCATTTTCCGGGCTCAAAGCAACCGATATCGACTGTAGGAATCGGGTGATCGTCTTTCTCGCCTTCATTAATACCTTCGTCTTCGTCTCTGCATAAATACGGTCCCAAAGGCTCCTCGCCTGTTAGGACCATTTCTTGAACTCTCTTCGACAGTAATATCTCGGCTGGCGGAACAGAAACTGAAGCCATGTTTGATTTTTGCACTTTTTCTTTGTGAGAAATTTGAAGTTGTAAGCGTTGAGGTCCTTGAGGATGCAGTTTTGCTTGGCTCTGTTTTGAGCATGGCATAAAAGAGTGGTTTAGATTATTGTGTNATGATGATGGTGATGATAGGAATGTGACTTGACACAGATTTTGGATTGTTTTGCCTCGAGTCTATCAAAATTTCGATTGACTTGAAAATTCTATGATGTCTATCGCAGAATTATGTCTTGATGTGATTATAGAGATAAAATCTGATGTAATAAGAACTGTAACCTTTTGTTTACAGTGTATTATCCTATTTTGCTCAGGTATTTGTTAGTTCTGTACTGTTTTGTACAGTTATGGCCTTTTGCTTATTTTTTGGCCTTCTTTTCTTTTTTTCTTTTCACTGTACTTTTATTTCCCCTGGTCATGTTGTAAACCCAGTGTGGAATTGTACATTGAATCTTTGTTCATTAATAGAATTGATTTACCGTTTGAAAAAAAAAAAGACAAAAAAGAGAACTGTAACCTTTTGTAGTCTACGTAATTTTAATGAGACAAATCTTCACCTAATGGGTGCAACTGCTAAATCTAGATAGTTGTCGCTCCCAAATTTTAAACACTAGTAAAGTGCACGTGCGATGCACGTGGTGACGAATGTTTTTTCCCAATTAAGTTTAGTAAAATAAATTAATTAATTTATTAAAAATATCGTTGCAAGAATGAAATAAGACGTAGAACAAATGAGCTCATAATGTAATCGATTTTTGCCGATTAAGTTTTGTAAAATAAATAAATTAATTTATTAAATATATCCTTGCAAGAATGAAACAAAATGTAGAACAAATTAATGAAACAAAATATAGAAACAAATTATTTTTTCTAAAATAACTTAACGATGTCCTAATATAAAAATAATTAAATAACATATTACAACCCCAACAAAAACACTAAATAACTAAATAATGACTAATATATATTATACATGGATTAGTTCTTTTATTTGTTTATGTTAGATGATTCGATAGCGTTCTCTTTCATTTTAGTTTTGACGTCCTCATAAGAAGCATTATTGATTCAATAGTATTGCAAAATTCATCTTAATTCATTTAGCAAAACGTCTACTTTATTCAAATACTTAAGAAATATTCTAACCAAACATATAGTGAAACTTCATGGTTGTATTATCTTTATATTTCTACTAACCATGCATGAATATATCTGCAAAATAATAAATCGTTTCATTAAAATTGTTGATTATTTTTTATCATTGTATAAACTATTAAATTACTCTCTCTATATATATCGACAAATTATTGATACCTACCCCATGGATGTATCTCCCTACGGAAGGGAATGAATTTCATCTCTAAATAAAAGTTGACTATTCAAAATATCTATTACATGTTCTTTTCCCGAGGTTTTTTTTTTTAAATCATCACATTAACTAAAAGTTCATACTATAAAATAATTGCACATATGTTCAAGCACAATTCACCAATGAAATTATAAATATTCCTATATGAAGTGTTAACTTCATTCAAACATTCAAAAATGTTTTGATCAGGCTCCAACGTTTCATTTTCAATGTCATTTATTTGAAAGATAGACAAACTATATAATCTATTGTTTGCAAATCATTGACTATCTAGTTCTTGCAATGATTTTAGAATTATTTATCTTCATATCTTTCACATTCGTATGTGTCCAATAACTTTTTAATGGTTTTATCGTCCAACTTTATGCATCATACATAATACTCAAAAAAACTCGAGATAAAGTTCTTTTCTTGATTCTTCACCAATGACAAAATTAAACAAAACAAAACAATGAGACAACATTGAGAAGCATATCATTTGTTAAAATATTTGAGATGAGAAGAATTAAAATTCTATTTTATGACTCTTAGTCATCTTTGAACGTTATTATTACGAAATCATTATTAAAATCTACATTATGAATTATAAAGTTTTAAATTTTAATTATTTAAAATTAAAAATTGATAATATAGGATCATTATTTATGAGATCCAATTTCTTACAGAGTCCATATATTTAAACGCTAGCAACAAATAAAGTATTATTTTTAAAAGATTTTTTGTTTCTAAATATTAGTATTCATACTTGTCTAAAAAAATTCAGACGTTTTCTTTATTCAATTCCATTACTATTATTTTATTAGTTTTTATTTCTATTGATAAATAATACTTTATTTATTAAACGAATTCTAGCACATTTATATGTATTGCATCATTTTTTGTACGTGTTTCATATAATGACGTTGTTATCAAAATATCTTATTTATTGGACAACAACTAATATAATCACATAAGATAAAATAAAATTTAATACTACTTATTTATATATTTATAATAATAATATATTTAATAAAAAAATGTACTTTTATACTGATTATTAGATTAAAAGGTTTAGAATTTTTTCCCAATATTTGAGAAAAATATTAAGCAACTAACTCATTTTCATACTCATTGAATTTATGTGTTAGTTGAATAAAATTTCACATACAACTCGTTTATTTCTCCTTTGAATTCACATAGTTAATATTGGTGATAGTTGTATATTTACATCCATTTTTTGTTTTTTCTTAGTATGAATTTTCGGATCTATGTAAGAAAATATGCCACAAGGAATCTAATTCTAGCAAAAATATTTTATTGGAATCATGAGCAGATCTATGTGTATTTTATAGATCCGACACAACCCTCCATCCTAAAGCATATAGCGTAAGGAATCTAATAAAAATTTGTGGGAACATTTTTTTTATAATTTTTATCATGTCCCCTATTTTAAAAATGAAATTGAAAGAAAGAAAGATACATAATGAATTAATTCACAACTCAACCAATTATAATTTAATTCAACTCATAACTTTATTAATGTTATAACATAAACGCGGCATCACAACTAAAGAAAATATAATATTTTTCAAAATTACAATTTTATCCTCTAATTATATTATTTCAATCTTGATGGCAGTTTCAAATCTCTCTTTTGCAACATATTTTTTTCTATATCTTCAAAATATATTTTTTATGTCTTTTATAACTAATGCAAGGGGAATTCTAGTTATATATTCGTAATTTATAAATTAATCAATTATATTGCCGAGTCAGCTATACTACAACATAGATTTTTTATTTATAATTTTTTTTAAAAAAAATATTATTTTCAATGATTTTCTTATGTTGAATTGAGAAAAATCGTTATTTTTTTTATTAAATACTTTTTAACTTATTGTGACTGTACTGATGTGTTAGAATGTATTACAAGTTAGAAACATGACAAATTATGTAAAGTATAATTTATAAATTATAATAGCATTATTTTTTTTATGGTATACTTTTTCTATTAACTATATAGTGCCCAATATAAAACTATTTTGGATCCGCCACTGCAATTAGTTTTCCAATGGAACTTCTATTAATTTTTTTACAATTTCAATGACAGTTTTTTCAACGGTTGAAATACGATCCGTAAAAAAATTCAACAGAGATTCAAACAATAATAAATTATAGTAATTGGAATGATTTAATTCACAAAATTTTCAATATAATTTAATTTGTTCTCTGTTGGAATAGTTAATGAAATTTTTCAATAAAAGCTTTACCAATGAAATATCCGTTGGAATTTTCTTTGGAATATCATACAGATGCATTTTCCATTGCAATATACCAATTTTTATTTTTTTTTGTATTCCTTCTTAAACATTATATTTTAGGTATTAGTTATTGAGTAACTGTGTTTACAATTTTTCTAATAACATACATTAAACACATGAACTTTTTAATCCATATAATTTTTTTTAAAGTAACTCATTATTTTATCTCAAGATTACCTAATAAATTCCCAATTGAGTTACATTTATTACATATTAAATGTTAAATAATTAAAATAATTATTATTTATATATTTAATATGATATATAAATATTATATGTAAAAAGCTAATAGCAAATAAATAGTAATTTAAAATTAGAATAATCAAGTGTTTTTTTTTTCCTAACCTACATGGATAAAGGTAAAAATAACTATTGTATATCACCTAAAAGTTACATATAGAATTAATAAGTACAAAAATTAACAAGCATTTAACAACCCTGCTCGTTTACATTGATAAATATAAGTTTTATTAATTATAACATATTTATTTATTATTTTTTAATATTTATTAGTACGTATTACAACTTAGTAATTTTTAATATCATTTGTCAGATTTAATATTTTTTTATTATTTTATATGGTTCTTTCATATGTTTTTAAATTTTGTATTTGCTTAAAAATTCATAATATTATGTATAGAACTTTTTCGGTCATATGTGTTAATATATCAATTATTTGTATATCTTAATATTATATTATATACAATTACAGTTTTCTCTTTAATATTATAATCAATTATTCATAATTTATAAATTAATTAACAATATTGTCGAGTCAACTATACTACCACATAAATTTTTTGTTCATAAGATTATTAAAGAATATATTATTTTGGTCATATGTGTTAATATATAATCTATTTATATATCTTAATATTATATTATATACAATTACAATTTTCTCATTAATATTATAATCAATTAGTCATAATTTATAAATTCATCAACAAAATTGTCGAGTCATCTATACTACAACATAAATTTTTTGTTCATCAGATTTTAAAAGATATAT